TTAGGTTAATTAGGTGCGTGTCTCGGAGCTCAGAGTGCTTCTGGAGGCAGCGGGTGTCATGGGCTCCCGGCGTTCAGACAGCACATAACAAGCACTCACCCTGCTGTGGTCCCTGCTGCCCTTGAGGATGCTGTCCTGCCACTAAGAGTATCGTCAAGGTCAGGTTGGACAGAGCTCTGAGCGCCCAGATGTGGTTGGAGATGTCTGTGCTGGTGACAGCTGGGTTGGACTAGATGACCTTTACAGGTCACTTCCAGCCTGAACCGTCCTGTGAGTCTATGATCATGCTTCAGTGAGAAGCTGCTTGAAGCTTCTCGCTGTTCTGAAGCTTCTCACTGTTCTGAAGCTTCTCACTGTTCTGAAGCTTCTCACTGTTCTGAATCTTCTCACTGTTCCCAAGCTTCTCACTGTTCTGAGTCTTCTCACTGTTCTGAGTCTTCTCGCTGTTCTGAAGCTTCTCACTGTTCCGAAGCTTCTCACTATTCTGAATCTTCTCACTGTTCCGAAGCTTCTCACTGAAACTGTTTTGGAGTTTCTACAGAGAGCAGGCTGTATCAGTTAAAACACCACACGTCATAGGCTCATAGATCATATGCCATAAGTAATTACTTTAGTTCTGGAAACGGAGGGTTATGATTATTATGTTTCTCACCTTAAAATGGCTTGTTTTATTCCCCAGAAGATATGCAAACAAATCCCTTTTTTTTTTTAAATTCTTTAACTAGTCTCCTAATTTTCAGCATGGTATTTTTTCTCATGAAATTTGTTTTCATTGGTTTTATAAGCACTTACTTTGTTTTTTAAGCAGGAAGTGCAGGCAGTTTTCTAAGTAGTATTAGGTTTTATGGGCCTGTAAGTGAACTTGGCAGATCTGTGACCCATGATGAAGCTGGTGTGAAACTGTGAGGAGAGGAGGGCACAAGTGAGAGGAGCATTTCTTTAAAGGCCTGTGTGCCATTGACCTGACAACAGTGACACTACGGGGGTTATTTGGCACCCAGTTTTCACTTGTGCTTTTCAAAACCATGCCCTTTACCAAATTCCACTGCTACTGGCATTAATCACTTGCCACTGCCCAGTAAGTAATACAGTAGAAATAGGTTTTAATGAATTCAAAGGTGTAGTAACATTACAGGCTGGTCTGTGGAACAGGCACTGAAGTATGTTATCTTTTCCCCTCCAAAATGTGCCTCCCTGCAGTGCCAGTATAGGTTATAGGGCATAGTCTGACCAAGCTGCACTGAGCCTTTAAGAAGCTGTCATTTATTTGTAACTCAAATTTGCATAATTTTCAAACCACTGTTTTAGAACTGCAAGATCAGAATTTGAGCCTGGATTTCTGATTTGGTTGGTGATGCTGGCCAAACTGACATTTCACTGATTTCCAAAAGCTCTCTGCATTACAAAAGAACACTTTTGCTTTTGTGTGGTTGCAGATAATTTGTGGAATAGCGGCATGGTCCATTCGCATCAGGGAGTTAAAAGATACAGGAAGACATGGGGTACTGAGAAATTAATATGGTGAGGAAAGTATATTACAGTGAAAGTTGCAAGAAATTTCAAGTAGCTTTGATGTGGAAAACGTGAGTTTGCTCTTTGTTGTTTTGCCGGTCTTTGATAGCTTTACCTCTCATTCAGCAGTACATGTGTTACAGCAAGCTGTCTGTCATTCTTTTGGAGAAGTAAAACAGGAAAAAGAAAGCTGAAAAAGGAACGCTAAAGCTTAATTTCCACTTAATTGGTTTGTATTAAAAATGTATGCACTATCTTGGTAATTTACAATGTTCACATTGTAATATGGATACTGAACTAGAATGTATTGCTTCATAAACTGCAGTTCTCTTGTTGCGTAGTCTACCTTTGAACCATGTATATTTTGAATATTATTAAAGATAAACATGAGCATGATTCCTTGCCTCTTTCTTTTTAAGGTGTCATGGAAAAACTTGGTCTTGGTCCAGAGGTCCTTCTGCAGGAGAATCCCAGACTCATCTATGCTAGACTTACTGGATTTGGCCAGACAGGAAAATATGCCAAGTCTGCAGGTCATGACATCAATTATTTGGCTTTATCAGGTAGGCTGTAAATATCTTGTTAAATAAGCCTTAAATCAAGACTCAAGAATCTGCTGAAATCTGGTGACTCAAAATGTATGAGGTGCGGCCTGATGGAACAGCTGATCTGATCTGAAATGTCTCTGTCAGTGAAATGGGGATTTCCTTTCTGTTTGCTTTTCCCTGCTCCTTTCTCTCCTGTCAGCTCTGGCACTTGCTTAACCCCTCCATAAACTTCCTCCCAAGTCAAAAACTAGTGAGGTGAAATGAGGATTCTTTCTGCCAGGCTGTTGAGCAGCAGTTCTTTAAAGGATCCAACAAACAAGTCAGCACAAGAACAGAGGAGACACACTCTGGACACTGGCTGTTTGGCCAGCACCAGCAAGCTGGATCAGCATGTCTTCTCAAGCTGCACGTTATTTTCTTTCCTTTGTGCAGTTTAACCTGAATAAAATTGTTCGTTTTGAGGGAGGACTGAATTTTTTCTTCAGGGCCTCTTTCCTAGAAAATCTGTCATTTAATCCTGAAAGGGCTGTGGGTTATTTTGTGTGCTTTCGAGCAGCTTTCTTTTGAACAAAGGTAAATGAGGCAGCCTAAGACAAGTGAGGTCTTGTGCTTTTCTTCTTGTAAATATGTCTCCATTGAAGCCAGCTGAAAGGAAGTGGGTTTGAAATAAAGTAGCAATGCAACGTTTCGATAAAGTGTTGTAGACAATATGCTGGGTTTAAGTGTCATCATTCTACAAGTGGGCAGTAGCAAACTATGGTGATGGCAATCCATACACGGCCCTGCCTCCTGCTCTTCACACTGCTTCTGTCTGTACTGCTTCTCCAAACCTGTGAGGGAGGGGAGAAAGTGCCCCAAAGCCTCTTGGCTTTCCACTGGATAAAACATTTCTTTTAGCTCCAGCAAAGGGCTGGAGCAGAGGCACTGCAGGTGTGGTGATCTGGTATCACTTACTGTGAGAAGTCATTGTGTTACGGAATTTTCTTCAGCAGTGGGTTCAGTGTTCTCTCAATATTTAAAATTGTCAGAGAATGAAAAAGGTTAAGGAAAGGATGCTTAATTTGAAACACTTTTGACTTCCCGTTCAGATGACATCAAAGTATTGGACTATTTTTATCACGAGCATAGGGAAAGTGTCAGTACAGAAGCAGCATCGTCCATGTCTACTTTAGATTGTAGTACTTTCTGTTTTACAAATAGAAATGTGGGGGGGTTTCTGAAGTTGATTTGATCACTAGTATTTTGGTTAGTGCTGTCTTCCTAAAATCATTTTGCTTGAAATTTCACAGCTCAGGTTTTTCTACCTCTTAAAATAGAACAAGGTGTTTGAGAGGTATCGTGCCTCAAAAATGAGATCTCATATTCTGAGTGCTAGAAGATTGCTTTATTCCTTTATTTGCATGGATTGAAAAGAATGAAACTTCAATTGTAGCAATGTAGAAATGAATGTTTGCAATTTATTTCATGCTTCTGTTTGCTTCGTTTGCTCTGTTGCCAGGTGTGCTGTCAAAGCTGGGTAGAAAAGATGAAAATCCTTACGCACCTGTGAATCTTTTGGCTGATTTTGCTGGTGGAGGTGTCATGTGTGCCCTGGGCATTGTTATAGCCCTTTATGAACGTGGCAGATCTGGCAGAGGGCAGGTCATTGATGCAAGTATGGTAAGTTTGGTCTCAGGGAAGGTGTGGTTTCTTAGGTTTGCTTGGGTTACTTCCTACTCTCAATCTGTAAAAGGGGGAAATTGGAGCTATTCATGAGGTTTAAAATGGAGAACTTGGGAAAGGAAGAGTAAGTAATCTCATAAAATGGCTGTTCCTTCACATGCAACCAGTTTTCACATGTTGCTGCTGCCACAACATCCTTACAACATGGGACACATATTGTGATCTTCCCCTATGTCTCTTCCTTTACCTGTCTGCTTACTTTACAAAATATTAGCTGTATGTATTTGATGAGTAAGTTTGGTGTATGGAGATAGGGTGTAAAATAGACAACATAATGCATAACAGCAAAAATGATGATACTAACAAAACCAAAGAATTGCGTTAGCTTTATTCGAGATACCTGTTGGAAACTTGTGGCAGGTCATAACTTCTTTGAAACACTGTTGCCTTGAGTGGGTACACTGCCGTGGATCATTGCCAAGAAGTCAGTTCCAAACACTTTGTCGATGTTCTGTAAAATAAATGAAATATTAAATGACCTTAGTAATGAATCCTATGGATTTTCTTACTGCTAGGCCACCCACTTGCACACGGAGGAAAAATATGTATTTACATTTATCCTTGAAACCTGGGTTATCTTGAAGTGTAGTTTCTCTCTCTGCCTCTTTTTTTCTGTTTTTCTTTTTAAAGAGCATTGCAATTAAAATTTGACCTTCCATTTGAGGTGTTGTAGTACAGTGAAGGGTATGGTTTGGACTTCAATATAAATTGAAAAAAATCCCTTTGTTGAAGTGGTCTTGATAATAGGAGAATAGCAAGAGATGTTGGCTGTCTTGCAGAATTTTTTGACAAATTCACGCAGCATTCTCAGCATCAGGCCACAGCATTATGGTACAGATAAAAAGTCTGTGGCAACAGTGCAAAACAAGACTAATATTTTTACTACCACAATAGTTACTAGTAGTTGATTGTCAAAATGAAAAACTTACCGAGTGGAGTTTTGTTGATGCTTGTTGGGGTGTTTTTCAGTGTTTTTTTATTGGAGAAATCCAATAAGCTGAATGATGGATGGGCAATTGTGTTTAGTAAGTTTAGAGATGATAGGCATGTGGGAAGGACTACAGATAGGTTGGACGCTTGGACTAGAATTGAAATGACCTTTTAAAATTGGAGAAATGACCTGAAGAAAATTGGTTGCAATTCATGGATACCACTGCTCTCTAGTTCTCTTTAGACAGAAACAATTAGCTGCAAAAGTGCAGTGTGAGAACAATTGGCTGAAGTACAATCCTGGGGGATGTAGTAGTCACAAGCTGAACATGAGTCAACAGTATCATGCTGTTGTAAGACACAAACACACTGTATTAGGATGTATAAACAGGAAGTAGAGGCAGCAGTTTCTGAAGCTATTATTCTAACCTGTTTAAAATTTATGAGGCCTCAGGAAAATTGTGTTTCTGATGCTGACCATCATTTGCAGATAAACATTACTCACTTGAGGAAGTCCAAGAAGCAGAACAAAAACTGAGTTTAAAAACATGACCTACAGAGAAAAATTGAGGGAGTTTGTGTATTTGTGAAACAAAAGCTATGGAGAATTGTGCCAAGTTTTCAAGTATTGAAATTCTTGTAGTTTGCAGTATGACCCTGTTTTCCTTTTCACACTTAAAAGAATGCTAGAAGAATGAGTGTAAGTCTGCTGATGTTCTAATGAAATCATTGGGAATGGAATGTGTTGTGGGGTTTTAATAGTTTTTTTTTAAAGCCCTTAAAAATTCTCTCTTTCAATATTTTCTTGTCTTATTATAATTGTGGAGTTTACAATTCCCTGCTGATGTGCCTGGTAATCTGCGAAATGGATGGAATATTGTCCAGTTTCTCAGGATGTACTTTACCTGGCATTTCGTTATGTTCAGTTTACTTGAACAGACTTTCAGTGACACAGTTGATGAAAAACACACACTCATCATCAACATCAAAGACAGTTCAACAGTCTGGATGGATGAGGTTTTTTTTTTTTTTTAATAACTAAGTTCCTTCATGGAAGTAGATATTTTGAAAATCACAATACTGCAGCATTTCAGCTGTCATTTCATTTTAACACTATTTTGTGATTAATAGACCTGTGAAGTTGTCGTACAGTTTAGGTCATCTGAATGTGTTAATGACTTACACCTGGGGGAATTTTCTACAGTAGAAGATGGAAAACTAATTTCTTTCTTAGCAGCTTTGTGTCATCAGGATTACTTTTATTAAGTTTTCATGTTATTTCATGCACTGTTCTACTGACCACTTCATTTTTTCATTTTTTTTGCAATGTCTGTTTTTCTGAAGTAATAAAAAAATAAATTATCTCTTGTGTTCGGGATTAGTAATTCTAGATTGAGATCAGAATTTTTGCGATGGAAGAATTTGTTACTTATCATTTATTTCTAATTGCTATGTTGAGATTCAAATTCACACAGCTGAGAATTCCGCTGTGAGAATGAAATTCTGCAAGAGAGCCAACATCTCTTGCTGTTCTCCTATCATCAAGACCACTTTAACAAAGGGATTTTTTTCAATTTATATGGAAGTCCAAACCATACCCTTTATTTCTAATTGCTGTGCTGTTGCTCTCATTGTAATATTGGCAGTAATATAAGCATGAGGGATTCCTCTAGTTAGTGAAACTAACCTGATGCAAAAAGAGGGCAGAGAGGTTCAGGCCAAGGGCTGGATTTGCATCACCTGTTCACAGTGTCCAGCGTTACTGTTGTGCTGTGTAAAAAGCCAGCGCTGGGTCCTGTGTTTCTTCTCTCTGCCTTGGAAGAAATAAATGCCCGAGCTGGGTTAGTTCATGTTGGTTGCTGTCTCCTCGTTGACTCTGTAGGGTTCATGGGTGTCCGGCAGTAAGCCGGATAGTTGCCATGTGCTGAGTGAGTAGGATGTGGTGTGGGCACTGCAATATGACACAGTAGGCACAATTGTACATCTGCATTCTTGCACCATGCTGGAATAGAGGCATGTGAGTCAGGGCTGCACTTGAGGTTCACTCCAAATTCAGCCACAGAACCTTCTGCTGATAGTAGACATCTGACCAAGCATGACTCACTCTTTGTGAAAAGGCAGCCACAGGAAAGGATGCTGGTAATGATTGCTTGCAAAATAGTCTCATGGCAGGAGCACTTAGCTGTCCAGCGGGAGACAGGGGTTCCAGGTTTTTCTCAGCCTGGAGGTATTGAAAACCAAAACGTCCACATCCTAGAGGCTTTCGTCAGTCACGAGGATAAAGATAGGTTGGTGTGGATTCATTCTCAGTTTTGTTTGAACTGTTTCAGTCTAAAGAAGGAACAGAAGGCTTGGGGAGCAGAGAGGTCACCTGTGGTCTGGTGCCTCTGGATTCCGGTGCCTGCTTCAGAGACTGCTGGCGCTTTTAGCACTAGCGAGCCATTAAGTGAAACACATAACTGTTACTGTAATCATTCTGCAATTAGGCTTAAGTGGAGTCTCTCCATGTTGTCCTTTTCATGTTTTACATATTAGTGAGCCTTTGGAGGTCTGGTGCAGATGTTAGACACTTTGTTTTACTTGTCTCTGAATTGCTGTGAGCCTCAGGCTGTCCATCTGTTCACCCAGGGGTATTTCTAGAGTTCCTAACTAGTCCAGAAAGGTGGACTGTTTCATTTTAAGCGTTTCCAGGGTAAGTAGCACTGTACATAGGTGTTGTACAGGTGCTGACTGTAAGAGTTCTGTCAGCACCAAAATTTATTCTCAGTTAGAGCTTATTCTGATGTTATCCCCATCTTTTATTTTCATTTATTATCCCTGTATTTTTGTTGATATGATCATTAGTAGAGCAAATTTCGTTTTGATATCCTTGTAAGCATTTTGCAGACATGTAGATGATGCTTTACAGTATTTTACAGAGCTCCAAATGCATGGATCAAAATGATACTCAGAATGATACGGCTCAGATTTTAATCTGTTCTACTGGAATGTTTCTAGCCATACACTGTCAACTGCCTCATCTTTACTTACAGTTTTTCTAATGCAGTTGGAAGAAAATGGATTGTGCTGGTGAGCAAAACTGTAGCATGTGGTTTTGCTTGAAAGACTGCTACAAGCTTGATAATTATTGTAAGGCTGAACAAACTGAATTTTCATCTGGCTATACTCCACATTGCCAAAATTTTGAGGAGCAAATTGGAACAGGGTTAATCATGTTTTCTAGTGCTGCATTCATCAGAGACTTGCCTATTTAAAGATTACCTTGCTATGTCTGTCTACTTGCCAGGGATGAGAGTGGAATTTTGTTTTAACTGAGTGATGGAAGTGAACTTCAAGATCTCCTGGTATAAGAGAGCTGTAACCTTCGATTTCCTTCATTTTTTCTTCTTAAAATAGCAGTCTTCTTATAGTCAGTAAATATAAAGAGGATAATGCTGAGATAAAAATTTGATACTTACAGGACTGGTACAGGCGTCTTGTTTTCAGAGGTTTAGGTGGCTTTGGCAGCTGTCAGATACTTTGTGTTGTATAGAGCCAAGAAGCTTGTCCTGTCACCTAAAATTACTTACATTCTCGTTGTGAATTCCTAATGATTATAAACTTACTAAACAAGGAAACTTTGTGTATTGAAAGTGTGTAATCCATCTGCAGCTGCGTTATTACATTTATGCGCTTTTTTCTTCTCTAGTTCTAGATGATTTCGCATATGTAGTGTAAACAGTAATAAGAAATCTTAAGAAATGAAACTGTTTAGGAGAGACTTTGTCATTAAAAATTTTGACTTAGGGCAGGACTTGCCACAGCTTTTTGCTGTTTTGTTTTATACAGAATTTAGGTAACATGCCAACTAATTTATTAAAGCTGTTCTTTTTTCCTGTAAATCTTCAAGGTAGAAGGACTGGCATACCTAAGTTCTTTCCTGTGGAAATCACAAAATTTGGGTCTTTGGAACAGACCTCGAGGTGAAAATCTGCTAGATAGCGGTGCACCTTTTTATGAAGTCTACAGGACCTCTGATGGAAAATTCATGGCTGTTGGTGCCCTTGAGCCTCAATTCTATGAGCAGCTAATAAATGGTAAGTAGCTTGGAGCAGTTGTTTCACATCAGCAAAGCACGATTGAATGAATTCTTCAATAATTGATTTGGATTCATGATTCATAGTTAAGGGATTTCTTTGTAAAAGCCAAACACTTGGTGAAGCTAGTTGGGTAGCTCTGTGGTTGACTTTCTTCTAGCAATTAATTTCTTTCTGTTTCATCCTCTCTTCACCTCACCCTCAGAAACTACACTTAAATTGCAGGTTTTCTTCTGGACAAGAAATTGCCATTATGGCAGTGGTAGTCTGTGATGTGACTGAAACATTAAACAACTATTTTTGGAAACCACTTTTTAAAATTCTTGTGAATCTGCTTTAAAAAGGAGACCTAATTCTTTGGTATTGCAAATAAAATTTCAAGCAATTTCAGGTAATTGTGCTATTTTCAAAGAAAAATAAACTAAATTGTTTCAGAGAGGAATATTCTTTGGATGTAGTCCATAGTATTTCTTGATAGAACAAAATTTTTGTAGAAGCAAACTCTGCTTTATAAATTAATTTCCACCACACAATTTCAGAGCACTTTTAGTGTCCAGCTGTGGATATAGTTTTTATCTTTGACTGAAGATTCTTTAAATAAGTCTACAAAATATGGTTATATGTTTGAGAAATTAGAGTGGGTTATGCAAAGTAGTTGTGTGGTGTTAAAGCATAAATTGTATTCATGCTACGGTTCATACTGGTTTTGGTTGGGATGCAGTAGAATTTCTTCATAGTAGCTTGCATGGGGCTGTGTTGTGCATTTGTGCAGGAAACAGTGTTGACAACACAGGGATGTTTCAGCTACTGCTATGCAGTGCTCGCACAGCAACAAGGACTTTTCTCCTCCTCACCCCACTCCACCAGCAAGTAGGCTGGGGATGCACAAGAAGCTGTAAGGGATCACAGCCAGGACAGCTGACCTCAGCTGACCACTGGGACATTCTGTACCATATGGCATCATGCTGTGCAATAAAAGTGGAGGGGAGGTTGGCAGGGGTCACTGCTCAGAGACTGGCTGGACACTGGTCAGCTGATGGTGAGCACTTGGTTTCCTTTTCATCTCTTGACTTTCTTGGGTTTTATTTTCCTCTCTGTTAGTATTTTTTTCCCCTTTCCCTTTCAATTTTTTAGATTATTATTTGTTTCTAATTATTAAACTTCTTATCTCAGCCCATGAGTTTCTTACTTTTATCCTTCTAATTCTCCCTCATCCTAGCAGGGGAAAGGGGAGTGAGTGAGTGGCTGGGTCATTCTTAGCTGCTGACTGGGGTTAAACCATGACAGCTCCTCAGACATACATTTACTGCCAGCTCAGCCCCAGTCAGCTGCAGTGTGCTAACAAGAGTGTAGTCAGTGCCAGGGCCTGCTCTTCCAGGAGTTTTTGCCACGCAGGAGCATGGTGAGATGAAACGAAGGTTTGGGACTGTGAGGTGGGGTATGCCTTTGGTGAGCAGGATCCCAAAGAGACATCTTGTACCCTTTGGCTTTGTTGTCTTGCAGCTTGTGGTGCTCCTCAGGTTTCTGCATGCCTGTGGCTGTAAGTGGCTGCTTTTCTGTGTAGCTTAAAAAGGTCCATGCAGTTGTGTGGAATATCCAGATTGGTACACACTGATACATGAAACGCATGAGGCAGACTCATGGAGCAACTCAGGGGCGTGGCCAGCATCATGTTGGACAGGTTGGATCTCAGATTTGGAAGGGCCATGCTCTGGGCTGAAAAAGATGGTACTTTGTCTCTCGTTGTCCTGAGAATAACTTATTTGCAAACTCAAGTTCTAAGCGCCTTGATCTTGAAAAACAGAGTATAGTTGATTATTGCATGCTTTGCAGTCCTTTGAAATGTTTTTCTCATCCAATCTCCTGAAATTTTTTTCTTGCAAGAAAAATGGGAGTTGGAGAACAAAAACAAACCTAAAACTATATCAAAGTAAAATGTAAACCCTTGCTCTGGAAGTTAGGGAATTTGGAATGCCAGTAAATATCTTCAGGAAGAATGTTTGTATTGAACACAAAGAAAACAAGAGAAGAATAAAGCTGCTTACTCAAATACCCATATGTTCAGCTTAAAGTGATCAAACACTGGTCTGCAGTATTCACGGCTGCAGGATTTTATTCTCTGGAAATGAAGTTGAACTGCACTTACTTTTAAGATACGGGAATGGGATGGAATGTGTATTTGTTCACAAAAACTCCAAATTCTGTATTGCAGTCTGGTCTGTTACTCTTCTCAGTCCAACCTTCTCGCATTGATCATTACTAAAGGGCAAGGATCTGACTTTTCTCTTTCGGACGGCTTATCTAGAGAGAAGCCTGTGATGGATGAATCCAGTGGCCAGGTGATACAGCATGGTCACTGACCAGTCTCTTGTCTTATTGAGACACCTCTTTACTGAGGAAAATGCTAAAATTCTATTTTTCTTTCATTCTAATCTGTCAGAAATTTAGACCATAAATTTGGAGCAGCAACTGTGAATTTTTCTGCCTGTGTTGGGGCACACACGTTGGATAACTTTATTTTCATGTCTGAAAATATTCCTTATGCTTGCAATGTAGGGAAGTGGCTTGATTTTAGCAGTTGAAGTTTCAAAAATAGTTATTCCAGCAATTGAGAAGTACTATTTATCCATTTTTAAGCAGACAACAACTGCAGTCATAGTTGCCTGTGGTTCAGTCTGTTTCTGTCACATTTTAAAAATCCAACATACAGGCTACAGCCTTCAAGGACATTTTGCTTTTTGCCTTTAATTGTATCACAGTCTTTGCTTGTTTATACTTAGTTAAGAGTAAACTTTGTTTATTTTGTAAAAGTGCATTGTTTAAAGTATCGGACCAAACTCAAGATTTTTTCACAATATTGCATTTAAAGTAACTGATCTTTTTGTCATGGTATTGTGGGAACATATTATGAGTTGTTCAGGTTTTCACATAGGAAATATTTATTCCCTTCAGTTACTAATGGTTTCAATCTTTACTAAGCAATAGTGTACTAAATTAGAAGAGCAGATCCTTCTTGTGGCTAAGGGATTATTTCCTTTCTGGGATATCTATTCCAGAAATTAAATTCAGAATTTAAGCCTTTGAATATTATAGGGGAAAAAAAAGCTGCTTGTGAGAATTGTATTGCTGTTTCACTAACCTGAGGAGATTTGACTTGGGCTGAGTCATCTGTTCCAGGCATTAATTCCTACTTTGAAGTGGTTTTAAAAGGTATGTTCCAGTTAAAATTTCCATAATTTCATTTCATATCTTTTCCCCATAATTCTAGTCAGTTCTGCTTGTGAACAATTTGGTGCTTGCTGTTCCAGATAAAAGATATTTAAAAATCTCTTGATGCCTCTCTGTGGTTATTCAGAGAATAGGTTACTTTTGCCACTGCTGTGGAATGAGATCACCAGGATATGGGTGTTGCAGATGTCAGATTGGAGATTTAAAGTTTGCAGAATTGAGAAGAAACATGATTTCTGAACCATTCGTCCCTGCTCACAGGATTCTGGTTAGCCAAAGTGGAACTGATTTCCTTTTGGTTTTGGTTCATATCTGTGCAGGATTCGGAGCCCAGCACTGGACCAGAGTGCAGTTAATGACATGGCAAGGAAAGTTCTTAAGGGGTCTGCAGAGGGAAACTAAATTTAAGAAAACAGAACATATTAGTTTGTGAAGACCATTGGCTTTGTAGATTGTGCTCAGCAGGGAAAAACTGAATTTCTGCTTATCAGAAATTTATGAATTTAAAAAAAAAAGCTATGTGAGAAACAGAAATTATGTAAAATAGAGAAAGTAAATAATTGCTGTAGTAGCTGTATTGTCAACTGTAGTATTCTGGGCTCACAGTAGATGATTTGCTAGTAGCAAACAAGCTGTAGTCCTTTTGCAGATATTAATTTTATTACAGAAGTCAGGCAATAAACAACTTAAATGCCTTTGCATTTTATTAAAAATCTGATGTAAGAAACATGTGCTACTAATGTTAAGCCTTACTCTTTTGACAGAAAGAGGCAGAATGTATTCTAACTGACCCGTGAATTGCTTCTGCAGGTTTGTCTTGATTTTTAGAAATAGGTGCTTAGTAGCCTGCAGCCAGGCTACAGGAGCTATGAAGAACACGGTAAATATTGTCTCTCATGTAAGAGTAAAGGTTTGACTCTGCGTTATTGTGTGGTGTAAAGTCAGTTACACAATGTGAACTTAGTATCCACCTACATAGATGTGAACGGCACTGACAGTCGCTGGAGTCCTAAACAGGTACTTGATAGCACTCCTTTGATGCTACTTCAGTACTCCTACATTGTGTGACTTTTGTTTAAAGAAGAACGGAAAAATTAGGAAGCACTTGAAAGACATAGTTTACATCATTATAAAGGATTTCCACAGGGCTCTCCATTTTGGGATTGTAAAGTAATGTGTAATGTATTAAGACATACAAAGTGCACAAACAGTTGCCTCATCACATTTTAGACTCACTCAGTTATAATTAATGTTACATTTTGTTTGAATGTCCTTCTTAGAGTAAGCCTTAAACATTGTACAAATAAGGTAGAGGGACAGGTTCTTACTGCATCAAAACATTTGCAATTGTGGGAGCTAAGCATGTCAGTGGAGTACAGCCATGGGTGCATTTGCAGTGATGCTTGATAGTACTTTGGGCCTGATCAACCTTTTGCCAAACTGTCACTTTCTAAGAAATTATTTAGTTTCAGAAACTGAGCAGAAAAAGAACTTTACATAATTAACTTAATGAAAATTTGCTGCTGTCTTGGGATATTCTGAATTCCCCCTCAGAGTGACAATGAATTCTGTTTAGATAGAGAGCACAATGGTATGGACTTTATAGCTGTCATTTGGGCCAAAATTAAGGATTTCCATGCTAGGTGGTTCTGTTCATCCTGTTGTTGCAACATACTTTCAAAATTAATCTGCTATGACAATTTAATTGTGAAAAGAAAATTAGCAAGTTAAACCGTCAAAGTCCTGTATAAAGCTCTGCTTTTAAAATAGTATGGCTGAAATACAGCAAGAAACTGTTTATTTACAACATACCAAAGCAGCTTCTCTGATTTAGCTAATTAATTTTACTGTTTTCCCTCTCTTGAAATAGGTGCCTGATTTTTACTGCAGTTTGTCTAGAAATTTCTGTAGAAATTTCACTTGCATCAATAAATGACATGCAGAGACATGTCAATAAATCTATAGCATTTGGAGGAGACTTACAGCCTTATCATTATGCTGAGACAATTTTTCATTGTCCAAACCCCATTATTTCAAAGCTGTACTAGTGTAGGTTAACTAGGCTTTTCTAAACAAAACATCCTAGACAAAAATTCAAACAAAAAACTTGGGAATGAGTTGTGCTTGCTTTACGAGGTATTCTCTGTAAATGATACATTGCTTTTGATTAAATTGAGTGAAGTCTGTCATCCGGTGGTATCCCAGACCATTCTGTGCTGTGTAATTGTTTCCTTGTTGAGTCAGTCACTCCTGCTGTGATTCCGCTCATCTGCACCACAAATGGTTAGCACAGGCTGGAAAATGAGAAAATGTAGTGCTTAAGTGCTGTTGGTTCATGCTATTTAAAGTTGAAGTCTTCAGTGGTAAACGGAAAATGAGCATGTAATGTTAAATTCCAGGTTCTGCATATTGTTCTGTTCTGCCAGAGTGTGTGGGGTTAGGTTCAGCCAGCTTTCCATCTGCTGCAATCATCAAATATGATTATAGGATAATGGTTGAGCTCTATTCATGCTGGACTGGCTCCTAGAACCCAAACTGTAATTAATAAGCAAACAAGTACTTACGAAAGAAAGTTTCCAGTTGACAAGGTTGCATGCATTGAAACAGAATCTCAGGTAGTATTTTGTTACTTTGCTGTACACATCGTGGAAAGTAAATTTGTCTCACCTCATAGTTCTTAAGTAAACTATACTGCACTGTTCATCTTCAGTAGTATACTTTGAAAATTAATAATCAAATTAACTTTGAAAGTATTGTTAGCTTTTATTATGGACTCTCAACCAGCGTTAGTAATCATCAGCTGATCTCTTTTTAGGATGGCATAAATGGTTATGAGCACTAAATTGTAAGTTTAGTGATTTAAGGTGTAGATGACTTGGTAACATGATAAATACTGATATTTACCTTTGCTGTGGTTTAACCCCAAGCAGCAGCGAAGTACCACACAGCTACTTGCTCAATCCCCCACCAATGGGATGGGGGAGAGAATCAGAAGGGTAAAAGCCAGAAAGCTTGTGGGTTGAGATAAAGACAGTTTGATAGGAAAAGCAAAAGCCACACACACAAGCAAAGCAAAACAAGGAATTAATTCACTGCTTCCCCCAGGCAAGAGGTGTTTAGCCATCTCCAGGACAGCAGGGCCCCAGCGCGTGTAATGGTTACTTGAGGAGAGAAATGCCATCACTCCAAACGTCCCCCCCTTCCTCCTTCTTCCCCCCACTTTATACTCTGAGCATGATGTCATGTGGTATGGAATATTCTTGTGGTCAGTTTGGGTCACCTGTCCTGGCTGTGTCTTCTCCCAGCCTCCAGTGCACCCCCTAACTTCTTTGATAGTGTGGCAGTACAAAAAGCAGAAAAGGCCTTGGCTCTGTTTAAGTTCTGCTCAGCAATAACAAAAACATTTCTCTATTACCAAACCTGTGTTCAGCACAGATCCAAAACACAGACCCATACTACCCACTTTGAAGAAAGTTCTCTCTGTCCCAGACAAAACCAGCACAACTTTGTAGTAACATTTATCCTGGTGTCCAATGGGCATCTCTAATAAGATGTGAAAATGCTTATCCTGTCTTTGACTGTCAAATTTCTTCTAAAAATGAACAACTGCAAAGCTGTATTTCTGAGTCTGGAGATTGGCAATTTCTGCGTGTTTTCCTTTGAAGTACCAAAGTATGATTTCAAAGCATGTATTCATTTTCACAGCTACTGTTTAAGAATCTTGTGATCAACAGTGAAATTCTTAAATATTATGTTAACCTAGGGGGGACTGTGGGCCCCAAGAAATGCATGTAATAGACATTATGAACAGAAAGAAAGAAAGACCTTAAAGAGCCAAAGAATAGACATTATCTTCCTTTCTCCTGCCCTGTGTATTTTAGTGGCTGTATGTCTGCTCCACTCACAGATAAGGGAAGTCTAGAAAGAGATACCCAAAATTTTTTCTGCCTGTCTATATTAGAGGAGTTGTGTGTAAATTCTACCTGCAGACATCTAGTAGCCAATCCTCTTAACAATTCTTAATCAAATCTCCAATCTGATACCGTATCTCCAAAGATAGGAGTGCTCAAAATTAAATGTTTGCAGAGCTCTACGTTTTCTCTGCCTTTTACATAGAACTCTTGTTTTCTAAGAAGGTCCCTTATTTTGTTATTTGTGAAGCATTATGATGTTAGTTGTTCTCTAGCCTTTGTAATGTCTCAAATTAACTTCTTATTCCAGCTTTTTTTCTGAATTTTTCATGCTGTGTTTATGCTCCTGAATTTCAAGATGTGACTGTTTGGACAGCCTTCAATATACAACTTCTGATTTCTGTTTGTTGTATGTCTGAACTGTCTCTATTTTGAAAGTGTAGTTTAAGTGCCTTTTCTCTTGTTCTTTACTTCCTTTTTGAGATAAACCCTACAAGAAATTATAAAAATTCTTGTAAATCCTTGAAGTAGCGCAAGGGAAGACTAGGGAATGCAGAGACCAGAATCCTCAAGAACAGAACAGAGATTGGAATCCGGCAGCACAGGAGAGATGGAAAGTCTCCAGTGAGAGGGAGTGTGATGCTCAGTTTAGGGAAGGACCTGGGGCTTGCCTGGTTCAGGAAATTTTCAGTACAAAGCTTGTGTATCCATCTTTTGCTCTTGCGTCTCAGAAGGGACATACGTATTGCACACCTGAGTGGTCCTTGCAGCTTAAATGGAAAGCAGAGTTCTTAAGCAGTTAGTGAGTGAAAGGGCTATGGGATTCACTTTTCCCAAAAAGCAGCACTGGAGTATTGGAACCTGGAAGTGTGCTGAAGAAGACAGAGCAGGAAACACTGCTGGAGTCTGTTTGGACTGAGGGCAAGAAGCAGGTCAGTTAGCCTACAGTCACCTGCAGCTGAGCTGTCTTATGTGCATCGAGTCTGGATATGTCCATCCACACCATCTTCTCATACCTGACATAGAAATAACCTGATTGTGTTGATCTGCAAACACTGTAGCCTGCTGAATGTCCAGCTCTGGCAGATGTACTGGCTTCTGTGAGATACAGTACTGCTGTACTCCAGGACCCACTCAGCAGACTTCTGTGTTACTACTGCCAGGTAGAGAATACAGTACCAAAGCAGCTGCTGCTTTTGTGGAGTGTTTAATAGGAATTAGTGTTCATTATACATATTTAGATAAAAGGCTGTAGCTGATGCAGTTTAGTCTAATTTGAGGTATCATAGGACATGTTATTCTTCTGCTCCCTGCCTTGCACAGCTACCTGACTAAAGTTTGAAGCAACTTCTAGTTAGTGTGCACTGCTGTGTTCGATTGCCTACAAGTTATTAGCTTCTTGAGAAACATACTTGGTTGTGGGGAGTGCTTAGTAATTTATCTAAGCTATACTATAGTTAAACTTTGCTATTCTCCTTTCAGGTCTTGGGCTACATTCACATGAACTTCCCGCTCAGATGAGCTTCTCCAACTGGCCTGAAGTGAAGAAAAAATTTGCATCCATATTTGCACAGAAGACACAAGCTGAGTGGTGCAGCATATTTGATGGTACTGATGCCTGTGTGACCCCTGTTCTATCCCTTGATGACGTTGCCTCACATCAGCATAACAAACAAAGAAGCTCTTTTATCAAAAATGATCAGGGAGAGATAAGTCCTAGACCTGCTCCTCTTCTATCAAGGACTCCTGCTGTTCCATCATGTAAAAGAGATCCTTTTATAGGAGAACACACGGACGAGATACTTCGAGAATATGGATTTACGAAGCAAGAGATTGCTAAACTTCATGCTGATAAAATAATAGAATTCAGTAAACCAAAAGCTAATTTATAATCTCAGACTATGCATATCAGACAAATTTCAGGCTGATGCAGTAAGTTTTTATGAGTTAAAATTGAATTATGTGACAAATATTTGCTTAATATTACTTTTAAATTAT